ATTTATCTGAACCAATGCTTTACTATCAATGTCAATCTGGACACAATTTATCTGAACAAATTCCTAATCTATGTCTATCTTTTAAGAATGAGGACTCTTTTTGTTTGCTGAACGAGGGACAATTAACTTCTTACTGTAATGATATCGGAGTCATATTTCAACTGAATGAATTTTGGGTTCTATCTTACAAGTTAAGTTAATCAACGTAATACAAGTTTTACGACGTTATATACAAGCATAGTTAAGCTAATCACAATACAGGTTTGACATAGTTATATAACCACGTAGCTAGGTTAGGTTAATCGCAATATAAGGTTTACATAGCTATTTACAAGCGCATTTAAATTTACAGACAATTTACAATGTAATTTATCTAGGTACTACGATATTTGCTACAATGAGTATATCTTTAAGACACAAAACTTACCGTATCAGGATCTTATTGTTCCTTAATCCTTCTTAAAACTGCAGAAATAACAAAAATTCTAAAAAAATGTTCGAGCTTAAATGATCTTTTGTATGTAACTCTCAATTTTCTTTTATTATTTCTAGAAGGGATCCGTTAGGTGGGTAGTAAGTAGTATGTACATATATGGGAGGATTAGGCGTTTGAATTGAGTTTAGTGATGATTCATTAATACACCCTTGGGCAATACAGGGATTTACATATACAGAAATATTTCATCTTCTCTATAAACCAACGTTTTAAAAAAAATCAACGGTTTACCAAAAAAGTTGTGGATCTTTCAAATACGAAAAAACTGATAAAAATTAAGTTTTATCCCTGCTGTATTTATTCATCGCATTTGAAATTAACATTTAAATTTCAGCCAGATTTAATGTTTACATAATCCAAAATGTTTTATGTTTATCTCAAAAATGTAGGGTCTGTATAAGAAGGGATAATGATACAAACCTTCTTAAACTTTTACAAAAACTTTTGAAGGAGATATTAAGTTTGCTTATACTCAATGCGTCTCGATTTTTATTTGATTTTGAAATATTTAAAACTTAATTTTTCGAAACTGTTGAGACGTTTTATAAAGATGAAGCTTCGGTGTTTTCTGCTCCCCACCCGGTCCCCCACAAAGCTGGAAAATTAATAAATTGTAAATTAAATATTAAGAATTTATGGATTTCAGATCAATCGAAACTGAGATACATTTGTTATATACATTAAATAAAACTAATATTTGTATATTAAATATTCAGAATTTATGGCATTTCAGTTCAATGGCAACGTAAATAAATTTGTTATACATTAAAGAAAACTAATATATTGTACCTGATGGTGTAAAAATTTAATATTTCAAACTTATACTATTTAATCTAACAGAATTCTAAGATTAAAAAATCTCAGGTTTATGACATTTGGTTGCTTAGATATAGGGATTAGAAAATCAGAGTTTGTGGCAAAGACTCAATTTCTTTGAATGCTTTTGTAAAGATTATGTAGATTTGCTTGTACTTTCAGTGTAATCCAATATTAGAGCGTTCATGATGATCCCAATTAAAGCATATCTAGCTAGTTTCTATTCTTCTTGACTCTCTCTCTACCCTCCCTCCAGATATCTCCCCTCCCTCCAGATATCTACCCTTCCTTCAGATATCTACCCTTCCTTCAGATATATACCCTTCCTTCAGATATAAACCCTCCCTCCAGATATCTACCTCCACATATCTACCCCTCCTCCATATATCTACCCTCCTTCTAGATATCTACCCTCCCTCCGGATATCTTCCCTCCCTCCAATTATATCTACCCTCCTTCTAGATATCTACTCTACTTCCGGATATCTACCCTCCCTTGAGATATCTACCCTCCTTCCGGATATCTACCCTCCCTCCAAATATCCACCCTCCTTCCAGATATCTACCCTCCCCTCAGATATCTACCCTCCTTATAGTTGAACAAATCTC